GGAGATTAGATATTTTTAAATTATTGAGTGTTCTGACCCATGAACACCTATCTCTCTCCACTTAGTATATCTTTTTAAATTTCTATCAGCAACGTTTTATAGTTTACAGTGTAGAGGTTCTCACATCTTTTGTAATATTTTTTCTTTTTGTTTCCTATTTTTGATGCTATTGAATATGGAATTTTTTTCAAATTTCATTTTCTAATTGTTTATGGCTTGTGTAAAGAAATCAACTAACTTTTGCATATTGACCTTATATCCAGCAACTTTGATAACTGTGCTTACTCTAGTAGCTTTTACATAGATTTCAATGGATTTTCTATGTAGATAATTGTTATTTGTGAATAAAGGCAGTTTTACTTCTTCATTTTCAATCTGGATGCATTTTATTTCCTTCTCTTCCCTCATTGCCCTATCTAGAACTTCTAGTACAATGTTAAATAGAACTAAGGAGAGTAATCAAGCTAGTCATATTCCTGATCTGAGGGAGAAAGCAATCCATTTTTCATCATTAAGTATGATATTAGCTGTGGGTTTTCCTAGGTTAAGGCACTTCCTTCTATCTTAATTTGCTGAGAGGTTTTATGAGGACTGGAAGGTGAATTCTGACATACATTTTTTTTCGGTGTTTGTTGAGATGTTAAATGCAGGGATGGCTGCATTTCATAGCTGTTTGGTGATTGCAACACAACACACCTGAGCACGTGTTCTTTGGACCCACACATCCTGCAGCAGAAGGCAATGATAAACTGCTGCTGTATTTTGGTTTTTTTCATCTTTCTTTTAAACTTTTTTACCTTGAGAACCCTATGATGAGACAGTCCAAAATGAAATATGAGATGGTGCTGGAAAATGAAACCCTCAGGTCAGAAAGCCTCAAATAGTTACTGGGGAAGAGCAAAGATTAAGTATGAATAGCACTGCTGCTAATGTTTCAACTAGTTTAAAACCAGAAGGACATCTAGCAGCAGAAATCACAAAGGTGAAAGGAAAGTCCAGTGCTATACAACACACACACAAAAAGAAGCATGAACCAAAGTGAACAGTAAGAGGCAGCAGGAGAAGAGGATGACCAAATATGGGATGGATTGACTGCATAAGGGAAGCCATAGGTGTGAGGCTACAACAACTGAGTAGGGCTGTTGAGCACAGGGCCTTGTGGACGTCTCTCATTTACAAGGTTGCCAGGAGGCAGAGCCGACTTGAGGGCACATCACATCAAATTGATATGATAATGTGGTGGTGTTTTTTTTATTGTTAACATGGAGTTATAAACTGAATTGTGTCATCCTCAGAATTCATATGTCGAAGTCCCAACCCCCAGTACCTCCGAAGGTGACTGTATTTGGAGGTAGCGCCTTTAAAGGGGTGGTTCAGTTAAAATGAGTCCAGTAGGGTGGGCCCTTATCTAATTTGATTGGTGTCCTTATAAGAAGAGGAGATTAGAACAATGAGAAACACCAGGAATGCATAGCAGAGAGGAAAGACTATGTGAGAACATAGAGAGAATGTGGCCATCTGCAAGCTAAGGAGAGAGGCCTCAGAGAAATCAATCCTGCTGTCAGACACCTTGAGCTTGGATGTCCATCCCCCAGAACAGTGAGAAAATAAATTTCTGTATTTAACCCACCCAGTCTGTGGAATTTTGATATGGAAGCCCTAGCAAACCAATACAAATGATGAATTACATGATTGATTTCGTTAAGACTATTTTTTCAGAGCAGTTTTAGTTTACAACAAAATTGAGAAGGAGGTACAGATATTTCCCCTATACCCCCACCCCTACACATGCATAGCCTCCCCCATTATCAACATCAATCACCATTATGGTAATAAATGTAGATTTATTACCAAGGATAAATCTACATTGACATGTCATGATCACCCAAAGTCCATAGTTTACCTTAGCATTCACTCTTTGTCTTGTACACTCTATGGGTTTGTAGAAATATATAATGATGTATAGCCATTATTACAATATCATACAGAGTGTTTTCACTGCCCTAAAAATCCTCTCTACTTTGTCTTTCATCTTTCCCTCACTCTAACCCCTGGCAACCACTCATCATTTTACTCTCTCTGTAGTTTTCTCTCTTTCGGAATGTCATATAGTTGGAATCATACAGCATGTAGCCTTTTCAGATTGCCTTCTTTCACTCAGTAATATGCATTTAAGGTCCCTTCATGCCTCTTCATGGCTTGATAGCTTATATCTTTTTAGTGATGAATGACAGTCCATTGTCTTGATGTAACAGTTTATTTATCTATTCACCTACTGAAGGACATCTTGGTTGATTCTAAGTTTTGGCAATCATGAATAAAGATGCTATAAACATTCATGTGCGGGATTTTGTATAGACATAAGTTTTCAACTTCTTTGAGTAAATACCAAGGAGTATGATTGCTAGGTTGTATAGTAAGAATATGTTTAGCTTTCTAAGAAACCACCAAACTATCTTTCAAAGTGTCTGTACCATTTTGCATTTCTACCAGCAATGAATGAGAGGTCCTGTTGTACCACAACCTCATCAACATTTGGTGTTAGTATTCTGGATTTCGGCCATTCTAATAGGTATGTTGTGGCATGTCATTGTTTTAGTTTGCATTTCCCTGATGACATATGATGTGGAGCATCTTTTCACATGCTCATTTACCGTCTGTATATCTTCTTTGGTGAGGTGTCTATTCGGGTACTTGGCTCATTTTTTAATTGGGTTGTTTGTTGTCTTATTATTGAGTTTTAAGTGTTTTTGTATATTTTGGATAGTGGTCCTTATGAGAAATATATTTTTGAAAACATTTTCTCACACTCTGTGGCTTGCCTTCACATTTTTGGCATTGTCTTTCACAGAGCGGAAATTTCTAACTTTAATCAAGTCTAGCCTGTCAATTAATTGCTTTCATAAGTTGTATCTTTAGTGTTGTACATAAAAGGGTATCACCATATTCAAGGTCACTTAGATTTTCTCCTAAGTTGTCTTCTAGGAATTTCATAGTTGTACATTTTACATTTAGGTCTATGATCCACTTTGAGTTACTTTTTGTGATAAGTATAAGATCTGTATCTAGATTCATCTTTTGCATGTGGATGTCCTATTGTTCCAGCACCATTTGTTGAAGAGACTATCTTTACTCCATTGCATTGCCTTTGCTCACCTGTTAAACATCAGGTGGCTATATTTATGGGCGTCTATTTCTGGGCTCTCTGTCCTCTTCCATTGATCTATCTGTCTATTCTTTTGCCAACATTACATTGTCTTGACTACTGTTCTTTTATAGTAAGTGTTGAAGTTGAGGAATGTCAGTCTTCCAAATAAGTTCTTCTCCTTCAACATTATATTGGTTGTTCTAGGTATTTTGCCTTTCTATATGAACTTTAGAATTAGTATATTCATGAAATAACTTTTGGGATTTTGATTGAGATGGCATTAAATCTATAGATCAATTCGGAAAGATCTATCATGTTGAAAATATTGAGTCTTCCTATCCATGAACAGGGAATATCTCTCCATTTATTTCATTCTTCCTCGATTTTATTCATCAGACTTTTGTAGTTTTCATCACATAGATCTTGTACATATTTTGTTATATACCTAAGTACTTCATTTATTTGGATGTTAATGTAATTGTGTAATGGTATTATATTTTTACTTTTGAATTTTGTTTTTTCATTGTTGGTATATAGGAAAACGATTGACTTTTGTGTATTAACCTTGTACCCTGCAACCTTGCTATAATCGCTTATTAGTTCCAGGAGTTTTTTGTCAATTCTTTTGAATTTTCTACATAGATAATCATGTTCTTTGCAAAAAAAAAGATAGTTTCATGCCTCTCTTTCCAATCTGTATACCTTTTATTTCCCTTTATTGCCTTATTTCTTTACAAGAACTCCAGGACAAAGTTCCAAATGCAGTGACCAGTGGTCAAGGACTGGATACTAAGTTCCATCTCTGCAGGAAGACAGGCCTTCAGCACTGGTTCCACTGGTTCCACCTATATTCCAAATATTTAGAAAAATTAACCATGTGGTGATCAAAAAGTACAATCCCTAAATGAATGCCCTGTTCCCGCTGCGAAAAGGGATGTCCAATGATGTCACAAAGGAACTTCCTCTAGGACTCAAAGTGCCCTCTCTATAAGGTACAGGCAAGACTTGAGGCTCCAGGGGTTTCAGGCGGCAGGAAGGAGAAGGCAAGACCTACTCTGAGAAAGAGAATATGTGTAGAACACGCTAGGGAGACCAGAAAGGGCTGATGAAGACCGGACTCAAACCCAGACCTTGGTCCCTGGTCCCATTGTCCACTCTAAAGATCAGAACTTTAGCTCACCAGACCCATGCCTGGCTTCTGGGTGCACCACACAGGTGACCAAACTCCGGAGAGTGCAGACTGTATTTTAGGCAGAGTAAGAAGAAATGGGGTCAAGACAACATATAAAAGATTTAAAGAAAATGAGAAAATGCTTAATTATTGGGTTTGAAAATACTGAATTGGTCTGTCAAAATATATGTTTATGTGTGTGTGTATGTGTGTGTGTACATGTCCCATAGTCTTTGTGAAGCTTTTGTAACTTCAGAAATATAAATGCTACTAACATAAAACATATTATTTAGAAGTTTAATTATTTATATTTTTATTATAGTTATTTAGTCTGGTGAATTTTAAGTAATAAATCATTAGTTTGAATTTTTGTGTTATTCTCTCTGAGTGAAGATGGCAAAAGTTGATGGAAATGGTAACAACTTAAATATTCAAAATTAAATAAGTAAAAATTAAAGTTCTACTTCTGGATTGATGAAAGTAAAATAACTTATTATGTGGAAAAATGGAGTTGAGACTTGAGCAACATGGGTGAACCTGGAGGGCATTATGCTCAATGAAATAAGTCAGCAAGAGAAAGACAAATACGGTATGGTATCACTTATACGTGAAATCTAAGAAAAAAAGAAGTCAAACTCACAGAAAGAGAGTATAAAAGTGGTTGCCAGGGGCTGAGGGGTGAAGGGAATAGGGAGAGGCTGGTAAAAGGGTACAAACTTTCAGCAGTAAGGTGAAGAAAGTCTGAGGAGCTAATGTATAACATGGCGACTATAGTTGATAACACTGTAGTGTATAATTGAAATTTGCTGAGAGTAGCACTTGTATGTTCTCACATACACACAAAAAGTAAATATGCGAGGTGAAAAAAAAAAATTTGGGTTGAGGACAGAGGAGATTCCAACAGTGTAAGTCCCTTGGAAATAGCCAAAACTCCTGGGAGAACTTGAGATTTTCAAAGGCTATAAAATTGGAAGGTTTAAACCAAGATCTCCAAGAGATACAAGTAACCAGGTAGTATCTGGCTTCCAGGTGGAAGGAATAGAAAATTGACTAAGGTCTAGAAGGCCCAAGAGGGTGGAGGGATGGAGTTGTCAGGCTGGATGATGGGGGAGGGGCTATGGTCCAGCCTGACCCCTTCTGTCCCCTCCCCCACTCTCAGGAGCCATTTGTGATAGGGCCACACTTCTGTGATGGGGGCCTGGGGCTTTAGTCCCCAAGCCACTCCCAGTGCTCAGTTGCCTGAGGGCAACAGTGTGATTCAGATATGGAGAATCCTCTCTTGTCTCTGAAAAGTGTTATTACTACCTGGCTGAGCTCCAGTTCCACTTCCTGGGCGATTGGTACCATTCTCGCCTTCCTGTGTGGAATGGGGCTCTTCCTTGTGTTACTTCTCTACCTCCAGAGAAATCCATCCTTACCGCCACATAAGAAATGGAGAAACATCAGGAAGGTGTGGAGTCCTTGGCCCAGACCCAACAGAAGAGGATTCTCTCTTCTATTCTTATTTCCACTTTTCTGAATCAAGTAGTTTGTGAAATATAAGAAAGCCAAATTAAGACTGTCAAAAATATGATGCAATAGGAAAAATAAGTCATTTAAGGTATTGTACCAAATCCTTTTTCTACATGAACTAAAGTGATCATTGGATTTCTTTCCTTCATTCTTTTAATGTGATATGTAATAATAATTAATTTTTTTGAATGTGAATACAATCTTGTTATTTCTTGTCTTTTTAATAATAGTCATTCTGGTGTGTGTGAGGTGTTATCTCATTGTAGATTTGATTTACATTTCCCTAATAGTGATGTTGAACATCTTTTCATGTGCCTGTTGGCCGTCTCTATATCTTCTTTGGAAAAGTGTCTGTTCATATCCTCTGTCCATGTTTTGATCGAGTTGTTTCTATTTTTGATGTCAAGTTGTATGAATTCTTCATATATTTCGGATATTAACCCCTTATCAGATATAATGTTTGCAAACATTTTCTCCCAGTTAGTGGGTTGTCTTTTTGTTTTGGTGATGGTTTTGTTTCCCTTGCTATGTAGAAGATTTTTGGTTTGATGTAGCCCCATTTGGTTATTTTTTCTTTTGTTTCCCTTGCCTGAGGAGACATGATATTCAAAAAGATACTGCTAAGACCGATGTCAAAGAGTGTACTGCCTAGGTTTTCTTCTAGGAGTTTTATGGTTTTGGGTCTTACATTCAAGTCTTTAATTCATTTTGAGTTAATTTTTGTGTATGATGTAGAATAATGTTCTATTTTCATTCTTTTGCATGTGGATATCTAGTTTTCCCAGCACCATTTGTTGATGAGACTTTCCTTCACCCATTGTATGTTCGGAGTCCTTTGTCAAAAACGAGCTGTCCATAGATGTGTGGATTTATTTCTGGGATCTCAATTTTGTTTCATTGATTTGTGTGTGTGTGTTTGTGCCAGTACTATGCTGTTTTGATTACTATAGCTTTTTAGTATATTTTGAAATCAGGGAGTGTGATACTTCCAGCTTTGTTCTTTTTTCTCAGGATTCCTGTGGCTATTCAGGGTCTTTTGCTGTTCCATATAAGTTTTAGGATTCTTTCTTCTATTTCAGTGAAAATTGTCATTGGGATTCTGATTGGGATTGCATTGAATCTGTAAATTGCTTTGGTAATATGGACATTTTCACTATGTTAATTCTTCTAATCCATGAGCACAGAATATCTTTCCATTTACATATATTTTTTCCTTTGGTGAGGAAGATTGGCCCTGAGCTAACATCTATTACCAATCATCCTCTTTTTGCTTGAGGAAGATTGTCTCTGAGCTAACATCAGTGCAATCTTCCTCTATTTTGTAGGTGGGACACCACCACAGCATGGCTTGATGAGCGATGTGTAGGTCCATGCCCAGGATCCGAATCCACGAATCCCAGGCTGCCAATTAGAACGAGCGAACTTAACCACTGCATCACCAGACTGGCCCTTCTTTTCATTTCTTTATGTCTTCTTTAATTTATTTCAATAATATCTTATAGTTTTTAGTATACAAGTCTTTCATCTCCTTGGTTAAATTCATTCCTAGCTATTTTATTCTTTTTGTAGTGATTGTAAATGAGATTGTATTCTTGATTTCTCTCTCTGCTAGTTCATAGTTAGTGTATACAAATGCAACTGATTTTTTTTATGTTAATTTTCTACCCTGCAACTTTACTGTATTCATTGATGATTTCTAATAGTTTTTTTGTAGATTCGTTAGAGTTTTCCATGTATAGAATCATGTCATGCACTAATAGTGACAGTTTTACTTGTTCCTTTCCAATTTAGATACCTTTAATTTCTTTTTATTTCCTAATTGCTCTGGCTAGAACTTCCAATACTTTGTTGACTAAATGGTAAGAATGGGCATCCTTGTCTTGTTCCTGTTCTTAGAGGGACAGCTTTCAGTTTTTCACCACTGAGTATTATGTTAGCTGTGGCTTTGTCATATATGGGCTTTATTATGTTGAGGTACTTTCCTTCTATACTCATTTTATTGAGAGTTTTTATCATAAGTGGATGTTGAATCTTGTTAAATGCTTTCTCTGCATCTGTTGAGATGATCATGTGATCTTTATTCTTCATTTTGTTAAGGTAGCATAACACATTGATTGATTTGCAGATGTTGAACCATACTTACATACCTGGAATAAATCCCACTTGATCATGGTGTATGATCCTTTTAATGTAATGTTGTATTTGAATTGCTAATATTTTGTTGAGGATTTTTGCATTTGTGTTCATCAGTGATCTTGGCCTATAATCTTCCTTTTTCTGTTATCCTTGTCTGGCTTTGGTGTCAGGGTAATAATGGCCTCATTGAATTAACTAGGAAGCATCCTGTCCTCTTCAATTTTTGAGGGTTTGAGAAGGATTGGTATTAAATCTTCTTTGAATGTTTGGTAGAATTCACCAGAGAAGACATCTGGTCCTGGACTTTTGTTTTTTGGGAGGTTTTTGATTACTGTTTCAATCTCTTTAATAGTGACTAGTCTATTCAGATTCTCCGTTCCTTCTTGAATCAGTTGGAAGGTTGTTTGATTCTAAGAATTTATCCATTTCTTCTAGATTATTCAATTTGTTGGTGTATAGCTTTTCATAGTATTCTCTTACAAAAACGTAGTATCATCCTTTGTTTTTCTGTGATATCTTGTAATTTCTCCTCTTTCTTTCTCTCTTTATGTGTGTTTTATTTATTTGAGCATTCTCTCTTTTTTTCTTAGTGAGTCTAGCTAAGGGTTTGTCAATTTTATTTATCTTTTCAAAGAATCAGCTCTCAGTTTCATTAATTTCTTCTGTTGTCTTTTTAGTCTCTATTTTAACTATTTCTGCTCTGATTTTTATTATTTCCTTCCTTCTGTTGACTTTAGGCTTCATTTGTTCTTTTTCTAATTCTTTTAGGTGTAGTGTTAGATTATTCGAAAATTTTCTTTTTGTGAGGTAGGCCTCTATTGCTATATAGTCTGTCTTAGTACTGCTCTTGCTGCATCCCATATATTTTGGTATGTTTTGTTTTCATTTTCATTTGTCTCTACGTATATTTTTTATTTCTCCTTTGATTTCCTCATTGATCCAATGGTTGTTCAATAGCATGTTGTTTAGTCTTCACATATTTGTGACTTTCCCAGCTTTTTCATAGTTGATTTCTAGTTTCAGATCATCGTGGTCAGAAAAGATGCTTGATATGATTTCAATCTTCTTAAATTTGTTTTGGCTTGTTTTGTTTCCCAATATATGGTCTACCTTTGAGAATGTTCCATGTGCACTTGAGAATGATACATTCTCAGATACATGTGTATCCCTCTGTCTTTGGATGGAATATTCTATATATTTCTATTAAGTCAGCTGGTATAGTGTTTCATTTAAGGCCATGGTTTCCTCGTTGACATTCTGTCTGAATGATCTATCCATTGATGTAAGTGGGATGTTAAAGTCCACCACCGTTATTGTGTTGCTGTGAATTTCTCCCTTTAGGTCTGTAATAGTTGCTTTATATTCTCTGATGCTCCTATGTTAGGTGCTTATATATTAATGTGTTACGTCTTCTTGGTGGACCATCCCTTTTATCATTATATAATGCCCATCTTTGTCTCTTGTTATCTTTTTTAGCTTTAAGTCTATCTTGTCTGGTATAAGTATGGCTACACCTGCTTTATTTTGGTTGCCATTGCTTGGAGTATCATCTTCTGTCACTTTGAGCCTATGTTTGTCTGTAGAGCTAAGATGGGTCTCCTGTAGGCAGCATATTGTTGAGTCTTGTTTTTTAATCCATCCAGCCACTCTGTGTCTTTTGATTGGTGAATTCAATCCATTTACATTTAGAGTGATTATTGACACGTGAGGGCTTAATACTGCCATTTTATCTTTTGTGTTCTGGTTGTTCTATATTTCCATTATTTTTTTCCCCTTGTGTTTCTGTCTGCCATTTCAGTTTGGTGGTTTTCTGGGATGTGTTTCTCAGTTTGTTTTTTATGTTTTTGACTCTGCTCTGATTTTTTGTTTTGTGGTTAACATGAGGTTTGTATAAAAGATTTCATAGATGAGATAGTCCTTTTCTGCTAATATCATCTTATCTCTGTTAGCCTATGTTGGTTCTGTCCTTTTCCTCTTCTCCTATGTTTTTGTTGTCACAAATTATCCTTTTTAGTGTTGTGAGTTTGTTACCAAATTGAAGTGGTTATAGTTATTTTTGAAGCTTTCTTTCCCTTTAGATTTTATGGTATAACTGTTTACTAACCTATTCTGCTATAGAGTTGCAGTTATCTGATTCTCTCTGTCTATTTGTCACCTTGCTCAG